AATTGATGGGATGACAATTCCCATGTTAATTCATTCCGGAGCCAGTGAGTTTGTTTCATCTGTTTTTCAATTCGGATATACTTTTCTGATTTTGGTGTTGTTCTGTGCGCTAACAGGTCGGAACTTTTACTCTGTGTAGAAAAAGAGACGAAGCAAAAAGAACCGAAGTTGAGTCCGGAATTCGGTGGGAAGTTGATAACTTTGGCCGGTTTGGATAAGGCAGACAGGGATTATCGCAAGCTTTTAATAGACTCGAAACTTGAAGCGGCTGGTTTGTCTTTGGGAGTTACCACATCGAAGTTCGACCCCGGTAAGAGAATTTTAGTAAGGATGTTGTCGAATTTTTCATATGCGATGAATAGCGGTTTTGTATCTTAATTTGTCCTTTGTCGATATGCAGTGTATTATCCTCTCCTCGGTTTTCTGGGCTACAACTCTGTCAAGGAAGCCAAGGAGTTTAGGCGTAAATTTCCGAACAGAGACCTTCAATCCAAAGTTGGTAAGAGCCGGGATTAAAGATTGAACGACGCCATGAGGAGGGATCTTGTTCGTGCGTTGGTGAAGAAGACAGTCGGTCAAAAGAACACTGGGAAGAAGTCGACCGAGGTGGGGTCGAGTGCCACTTCGGTTGCCATGCCTGAAAGCCCGAAGTCTGTGCCAGACGTGACGACTACCGAAGTGTTGTCGGTAGTGGAGGCTGCAGCGATTAACCAAGCAGATCCGGAACCAATCATAGCAGGGACCGAAATGATTACTGCCGAGGTTGCTCACACCGAGGTGCCACCAGCTTCTCCGAAGTCGCTTGAGTTGGAGCAACCAGAGAAGAGGAAGAAGAGGAAATTGGTGAAGATGGCAGACGTCGGAGCTTCGTCCGGAGTAGAGAAGAGGTCTAAGAAAAAGCACGACTCCGGTCGTAAAGCGACTGAGAAAGGTACGGATGATTCTCCTTTATTTGAGAAGTCTTTTTTGTCGATAGACGAAGAGCGGGCTACCAGAGTTAAGGTGCCTGAGGGTGTTGTGGAGGATTGGTTCACTACTTTTCTGTCCGTGAAGTCACTACATATGTCGTCTCGGATCGAGATGCCGGAAAATGCCAGAAATGCTGCCCGAGTTCCACTGATGGTTTGGGACCCTAAATCCGAGGTGGGGGTCTCTTCTCTGTCCAGTGTCGATAAGCTGAGCTATGCCAAGGCATGTGTGGGCAGGGCCTTGGTCAGTTTGGTGGCTGCCAAAGACGATCATCGCCGGGTTGCGTCGCAATTGGAGGGGAAAAAGGATATCATAGCTGCGCGCGACGTGGTGATCGTCCAATTGAAGGAAGAATCTGTCAAGATAGAGGCCGATTTGAAGGGCCATATTTCTGAGAAGGTTGCCGAGTGGGAGAAGGCAAAAGCTGAGACTGTAACATTGTCAGATGAGAAGAAGGCCTATGAGGCCGAAGTGGCAGATCTCAAGGCACGCCTGGCCGTGGTGGAGCAGCATTTCAAAACTTCCGAGGC